TGGTGGCAAGCACCTTTACTCACTGAGCCATGTAGGTTTTTTATTTTGCTTATTTATTTTTATTGTTTTAACTATATGTGGGTGTTATTTATAAGTGAGTGTGGGTTATGTGGAAGCCGGAGGTATCACGTGCCCCCTGGAACTGGAGTTAGAGCCAGTTGTATGTCTCCCATGTGAGTGCTGGGAGCAGAACTCAGGTTCTGTGCAAGAAGAGTACACACTCTTAACCTCTGATCTGTCTTGCAATAAAGGAGGGTATTGGGGGCATTTAGTGAAGTCTTAGTTATTGTTCTATTGTGTGAGGAGACACCATGACCAAGGCATCTCTTCTAAGAGGAAGCATTTAACTGCGAGCATGTTTACCGTTTCAGAGGGTTGGCCTCTGCTCAACGTGGCAGGAAGCAGTGTCTGAGAACTTCACATCCTGATCCACAGGCAGCAGGCAAAGAGAGAGACTCGGGGCCTGGCACGGGGTTGTGAAACCATAAACCCCACCCCTAGCAAAGCATCTTCTCTAGCAAGGCCATGCTTCTTAATCCTTCTCAAACAGTTCCACAAATAAGGGACCAAGCATTCAAACAATGGAGCCTGTGGGGGCCGGTCTCATCCAAGCTACCTCATTTGGGTAACTGTATTACATCCACGTTAAACTTCCAATTATATAAAAGATCTGTTTTCTTTTTTCTTAAGAAATACACACTAGAATATTTCGGGACATTATGTGTGCCACTTACTTTAAAATGGCTCAGGGAGAAAATGAATATAGAAAGACAGCTAGTGACAACGTGTTAACAATTGGTGACTACAAAGGAAGCTGTATGGGTGTTTATTGAATTATTCTGACATTTCCTCCACAAACTTGAAATTCTTGATGACTGAGGTTTATTGAAATTCCTGAGGCAATACCGATCTACTTGTGATAACATTTAAAAAAAACTGTCTTATAAAAACAAAATGTATGTCTAATCAAGATAAGCTCTTACGTTTTACAACTAAAAATAAAAAAAATAAATAAAAAGGTTAAAAAAATTCCAGGACAACCCAAAACCAAATCTCTGGGAGAAAATGCTTATAAGCGCCGTATCTAACAAAGGACTATGCTCCAAAAACACATAAACAGCTCCGAACCGTTTATAAGCTTACAGCTCACCAGGTGTGGTGGTGCAACCGGTAACCATACCCCCAGGAGTCCAGGTCACTGACAAAGGCCAAACAGATGAGCCAGAACTAACGTAGTATCAAGGGTAAAGTTGACTCTCTGTAAATTATCCCTCAGCTGAACACATGAGCCAGCGGCTATCACTCCTGGGTTTTTGTACTGCTGTGACTTTCTGCCCCTCACTGACGCATCTGGAGAGAACAGGACTCACCCCTCTTGTCTCTCCCTTATCTACCCTGTGATCTTGCATAGGTCTTAGGGCTGGGTAGGGATCAGGGAGGGAAGGACCAAGGGCAGTCTACTCAGAGTGGGGTCACTGTGAAATGCAGCGAGACCCCTCCGGGTGGCACACACCCCAACTCAGATCTGTTCTCTAGAATCTGCTACAGTTTGTCCCCCCCTCCCCCCCAGTTTATGTCATGCAGCACCTGGCTGCCCTCCACTCCTGCTGAGGAGCCCTCTGTAGGAAGTCCCTCTCTAACCGGGCAGAGATCCTTCAGCCTGGCTCGTGCCCTGTGTGATCCACGCTCAGGAAACCCTCTAGCTTGGCAAGGTCTAAAGATGAACAGGCCACACCCACTGCAGCCTTCACTGTGCGCATGCGTGTTGCTGCCAGTGGATGCTCCCAGGGAGGGGGCAGGGTGAACTTTGTATTCTCTGAGTTCTGAGAGCCCGAATTTCTCTTAAATCTTCCTTCCTTCCTTCCTTCTTTCCTTCCTTCCTTCCTTCCTTCCTTCCTTCCTTCCTTCCTTCCTTCCTTCCTTCCTTCCTTCCTCCCTCCCTCCCTCCTTTCTTCCTGTTATTTATTTGTTTGTTTGTTTGTTTGTTTTGAGACAGGATTTCTCTGGTTGTCCTGAAACTCACTCTGTAGACCAGGCTGGCCTCAAACTCAAGAAATCCGCCTGCCTCTGCCTCCCGAGTGCTGGGATTAAAGGTGTTTGCTACCACCACCACCGCCCAGCAGTCAAAGTTTCTTAACCTGAACTTGTGGGGATGAACTGTGACCCAGATAAGACTCTCCTCCAGAAAGTCTGACACTTGCTGGACTTCTGTGGCCAGGGCCTGCTTGGGACTACTGAGGGGTGTCGGAAGGAGGGTATCACCGGAAGCTGTGTCCGCGGGACTGTGGGACAGCTGTGACTCCAAGAAACAATCTCTGTTCCTTTGCACAACTGTGAGGAAATGCCTGACAGAGCCGTGTGTGGGAGAAACGGTCTCAGCCCAACACGTCAGGGAAGGCAGGTGAACACGTGAACATATCAGTTCCCGGTGGTGAGCGTGTGGTGGAGGCTGCTCTCATCACAGTGGACTGGAAAGCAGAGAGGGAAGTCTAGAAGTGGGCCTAGACCACATATTCCCAGGGACCAACCCCGGATGACCTTCTTCCAGCTGGGCCCTACCTCCCAAAGCTGCCAGAGCCTCTCAATACAATGTCACCAACTAGAGACCCAACATTCAAAGCGTGAGCCTGTGAAGGACACTTCAAAGTCAAACCGTAGCATGTCATCGATGACAATAAAATAGTCCCACACTCGCTTAGAACAGAGTATAATAAAAAGTCTTTTTATTTAGATCAGTCCTCTGCATGAGTGGAGAACAGAACCGAATCCAGCAGCCAGGAGAGCTTGCCCTCGCCCCTACCTCTGCATCTATAGTACCCAAGACCATGCCCAAAGTGGGCCAGCATCTCAAAGGCCTTTAGCTGAAGGAGTTCCCCCTGCCATAACATACACAGAAAAGGCCCATTTAATATTCTGTAACTTATAACTAAAAGTGATTTGACGAAAACTGGAATCTTTGCTCACGATGTGCCTTAGTTACTCTTCTATTGCTATTATATGAAAAAAAATGACCAAGGCAGCTTATAAAAGCAAGGGTTTAATTTAGGGCTGATGGTTTCAGAGGAGTCCGTGACCATCGTGGTATTGGGGGGGGGGGCACAGCAGCAGGCAAGCAGGCAGGCGTGGGGCTGGAGCAGCAGCTGAGAACCGGTGAAGACATAACCGCAAGGCAAAGAGGGAGATACCACTTGGAACTGTGACCCCGAACAAATCCTCTCTTTCTGGAGTGGCCCTGGCAGGTAGCTGTCCTGGCAACGGGGAAAGTAAGACACTGTGTTTTGATCATTTTCCTATGTCAACAAATAGACTCTATGTTTAGATCATGTTGGGCAGATGGCAGATTTTCTCCCATCTACACGGATACTCCAAAGCCTATTATGTGGATTCTCGACTGTCAGCTCTTTCTACTTTTAAATGATTACCCATGTGCAGTAAACACACGTGAAGCTGATCAAAGCCTCCTCATTTGCACAAGGACTTCCCAAAGGCCCAAGAAAGATCTAGCCCTTTTACACTCTTATTTTGCATTCCTTGTGTTAAAGGGGCCCTCCTGTTTTATATAAACACCAGGCTCCACAGAACCAGGATGTGTTCATCGGCTATGATAAACATTCTCACACGTGTGTTTTTTGTTTTGTGTTGACCGCTTTTTTATTTCCTTTGGACCGATTCTGAGAGGTACAGTTGCTGGGCCATCAAAGCCGACGCACATTTTTAAGATTCTCGAACATGTCACCCAAGGGGCCTCCAGACAGGGTGACCCAATATACAGCCTGGCTCAAATGAGGGCTGTGTGAGTTCAAGGGGCGTGTATTTCCCTGCGACTGCCACTCCGGGAGTTGCCGTTGCTGTTACCCATGCATCTAAAGGAAGGATTGTGACTTGAGAGGTCTGTGGCTGTCAAGGGTAGTTGTTTTTACTGTGTGAACTTGGCTGAGGAGAAAACAAACCCCAAACCAACCATGACACCTTTCCTCTCGCTGTTCTCCCTCCTTGAGTGTGGGCCACGGTTCCTCATAGTGTCACCGACTCCCGCCACAGGCAGGAACCAAGCTTTTCCAAGCCTTGCCAGAGCTGCTGTTGGCCTCTCAAAACATCTTTCTTTCATCAGGGCTTCAGAAGCACGTGTAAGTACACCAGCCATGTTTCATAACATGCTAATGAGAACTTGTGAAATCACGGTGTGGTTTAAAATGTTCTTTTGACAACTGCAATCAGAAGAACTAGTTTCCTGTAGAATTTTGTGTCTCTTTTATGAGTCAAAAATCTTATTGTGAAAAGAGGTCTGTCCATGGACTGTCAAGGGGACAGGTCACAATCACGGCAGTGTGGTTACCGGCATACCTGTGTGTGACACGGAAGGGAAGAAGGGGCTCCTTCTGAAGCCCACACCAGAGCCACACTCTGTGCCAGGTGCTGGGGACTGGAGGAGCTCACAGCCTAGGTGAATGGTGCAGTTTCATAGAGGACCTGGTTTTGGTTCCCAGCACCCACATGTGGCTCACTATTGACTGTAACTCCAGCTCCAGAGAATCTGACTCTTCTAACTTCCTTAGGCACTAGGCACACACATGGTGCACAGACATACAGGCAAGCAAAGTAACCATATATATAACATTTTTAAGTTTCTAAATCAACAGGGATTTAGAATATATTATTTATTTTTTATCCGTTGTCTGATGTCCACTATCTGTCTCTCTGTATCAATGGCAATTTTTAATTGTCAAATTGGTTGAAGAAGCACAGAGTGTGTGTGGGAGTGTGTGGAAGCTTCCAGAAACAATGAGAGCCCAAGGGCTTTGACCCACTTCAATCGGTAACATCTGTAGCATAACCCCTACACCTACAGCTGAGGAAACATCGAGGAAGAGTGGGCAGAACGATTGCAAGAGGCAGAGGACGGGGTGTTCGCAGTGAGACAGTGTCTTCTGTGTGAGGTAGGAACTGCACCTATGAAGTGTGATCATCATCACCATCATCATCATCTTCTTCATCAACATGGGAGAGCATGAACCAAGTTCCTCACTACCACGAAGTGTGCAGGCACGTTTTCCCACATTTGGGGATATTGCAGGAGTCAGGATATCTAAAATACAACGGAGAGGCCTCACCTCGGGAAAAACACCTTCGTGACCATAGCATCTTCCCTGCTCAGTAGGTATACCCATGATGTCCTAACAATAGGGTCACCTAAATGAGACCTGCGTGGTGACAACACCAGCTGACATTTCAGCGTGGATGTGGGAAGCCTTTCAAGGCACCACGTCTGAATAAGGAACCACAATCAATTACTGGCTGCTAAGAGAGGGAGAATCAGTCTTTTCCAGGGATGAGGCCCCAGAGAGGCTATCATCAATCCCAAATGGTCAGCCATAAACAGACACACATATGAGCAACTCGAGGTGCACTCAGCAGGTTATATGTAAGTATCTAATATGTACAGATATATGTATTTATATGTGTGCAGCAATGATAATTACAGAAGAGGTCATGAATTTGAGAGGGAGTTGGGGGAGATGGGAGAGGCAGGAAAAGAGGAAGAAATCATGTAGACACAGTACCCATGGATGAAATTCTCCAAAAAAAAAAGTATAAAAAAGAAAAAAAGAGAAAATGCCCATCAATAATGAATGGTTAAAGAAATAAAAAACATTAACACTGGAATATCACAAACTCAATAAAAAACTGAATAGAGCTATAACAGTTCATTAGAGGTGCTGTCTTTGAAATGTGGTTGGACTATACAGACTACAATCCCATTTTCGATCCTGCAATGATAAAAATCCCTCTATCATAGGCACATTTGTATTTGCACAGTTTATTTTCTTCTCAGCAATAACTCGATCCTGGGGAAACGTACAGAGGGCTTGGCAGAAGAAAGTTAACGTGTGGTTGGGAAGGTGGGACAGGCAGGCATGATGCGGAGAGACCAGAAGTCAGAACCAATCTCTGGCAAAATAACAAGGACGGTAATGCTTATGAAAAGTAGGGGCCTTTGGGACTGGGCCCTTTCACCTCTGCCCGCACACGGCTTGGATCCCAGAACACCCTCCCCTCCCCCTCCTCATCACCACTGGCTGTCTTCATGATTTCAGAGAAATGGAATTGAAGATCTCTGGGCAGGGCCGGGAGAGTCTCAGAGGCCACTGTCTTCAGTGCAGAGCCCTGGCCTCGGGGTGGGAAGTTCAGGTTCTGCTCTCTGCAGGTGTGTAGTCAACGTGAGGAGGGTATCATTCGGTTTCTCTTGGTTTATAACGATCTCCAACTCAGCCACCACGAGGTCCTTGAAGAGGATCCCTCTGGGTCCCAGCCTGTCCCTGACTCTCTGTCAAAGCTCTCATCACTGTTTCTCATTGTTCTTAATGTGTATGTGAGAGGGGGCATAGAGAGAGAGAGAGGAGAGAGAGGGGGGAGAGAGAGAGAGAGAGAGAGAGAGAGAGAGAGAGAGAGAGAGAGAGATTATTTATTTTCTTATGGAAGTGCCTGGAGAGTCCTCATGGCTCCAGACATGTTGGCTGCTTTCAGTGATTTGTTGACTCACTTGGTCTCCTTTTCTTTGGTTCACACTTTTATTTAACCCTTCATGCTGCTGGTGATCAGTAGGTCTTCACTACCCGAGTCTTCCACCTTGCAGGAGGTGTTAGGGGGGGGAGGGATGGACTCACAACAGAACCCTGGGAAGGCATCCCCAGCTTGGAAAAGTGATCCTGGGCAAGTTGGAAGGTCTCCTGCTGAGAAGAGAAGATTCCCGGATGCTGGAGAACCAGGGAACCCAAGGATGAGATCCCAAAGCGTTTTGGCTGTCCTGCAGCCAGGTCGAGCCAGAGCTTGGCCCTCCCTTCGACCTCTCTGCTTCATGCCGAAATCCTGCTGTCCCTGTAGGCAGCTCAGATGCCTTCCAAGCCTACTCAGTCCTCCAGCTGTGAGGCCTGTGATCAGCTGCAAACAAACTCTCAGAGCACGGAACCTCCCTCACCCCTGACAGCTTCCTGACTTGAGCGACAGCCCGAAGTCTCCTCTCCTCCCACAGCTGAGGATTTATCTAACTGTCCCCATGTTTCCCACAGACCCAGCACCCAGAACCTCGGGGATGCTCAAGCAGTCGGGCATGACAAATACACATTGTCATGGGGTAGGAATTTTTTTCCCAGGGCTCTTGTTCTGATATAAACCTGTTATACCGATGGACAACTGGAGACACAATAGTGCAATTTGCCCTCACCTCCAGAGCAAAGGTGGCCCTCGGAGCAAGAGTGGCCCCAGTTCTGAGTTTGATTTCACAGGCAGAGCTTCCTCCAGGCCAGCCCGATGGGAGAAGTGGGGTGGGAGCTGAGTCCTGAGAACCAGCTGGCCAGAGAGACTTGAAGTTAGGAGGGCCAAGCTCAGGGAGAGTGCAGCTGTGGAGGGACCTATCTGTTTATTATGCTTGGTCTGTACTCCAAACAGAGCTGATGGATGGAGCCCCTCCAGCTCTATAAACAGCTCAGCCCTCCCTCCTTCCCTCCAGCCCCCTCCGTTCTCAGCACAGCTGTTTCTAGGGAGACAGAGGTGGCTGTGGGGTGGGGAGACAGGACGAGAAGATGGGGCGGACAAAGATAAGGGAATCCTCAAGGTGAGGGGAGACGGAGGACAGCAGAAGCCAGCCAGAGGGCATGCTTATGTGCTTTTGCTGCCCCTGAATAGTCCGTGTCCTGCCGCCCGCCGCCTCTGCCCTCTCTGGATCCCCTGGGCCTGTCTGAAGGCTGGATTTAAATCCAAGAGTTCATAAGCACTGGAGGGCAGGATCCATTAACTTGGGAAATCTTTTCTGAGCTCACATTCCCAGGGGATACACAGGGGACTTGGGGTAGGAATTTTTTTCCCAGGGCTCTTGTTCTGATGGTGGGTCAGACAGATACCCAATGCTAGAGCTGGGGGGGGGGGGGTCCATGGGGATACAGGCAGCAGGAGGAAAGAATCCAGGCCTTCTCCTTGGAGGAGGTGGTCCAGTCAGACACAGGCAGGAGTTTGTGGTTGAGTCAGGGTGGGTGTGACAGACCTGGTGGGGGAGGGGTGAGCCTGGGGCTGTGAGGGTCACACACTAGTGTCACCAATAGTCAAGGTAGTCAGCTCATTGCTGGGCATGGTACTCCACACCTTCCATCCCAGTACGTGGCAGGATGATGGGGAGCTCACGTCATTCTCAGCGACATAGTCAATCCAAGGCCCACCTGGACCACGGGATACCGTGACTCAAAAACCAAAGAACAAGACACAGGAGAGATGGCTGCAGTGGGTAAAAGCATTTGTTGCCAAGTCCGACGATGTGGGTTCGGGCCTCGATATCTGCAGTGGCAGAAGGAGAGAACTGATTCTCACAAGTTGTATTCTGAACCGCCTCGCCCACGGGCACAGACGCAAACAAATAAAACACAACAAAAAAAAAACAGTAAGAAAAAACTTGCCGGCTTCAGAGAGGGAAGAACCTGGTTAGGTCTCACCTCTAGACTCTCAAGATTCTCTTCGAGACTCTCTTCGAGCACTGTAGGAAGAAGGTCCATCGATGGCTCAGCCTGGGCTTAGCAGGATGGTCCACAGAGGTGGCTTCAGCAGAGAGGAGCTGTCGCTACCTCCCAGGGGCGTGGAGGCTGGGGGTGTTGCAGTGGGCAGCTGACCAGGACCCTGGGTCTGGTGGAGTGAGATGGTGGGGCGGCTGAGGAGGGAGTACAGGGTCCATGGAGGAGTGGGGCACCCTAAGAGCCCACTGAACTGGGTGGGTTGAGCGTGACACCCCAGGTGGCCTGTGAGGGGCCCCCTCTCCTAGAACTGGCTGAAAGTTCAGTAAACCGGATGTTCTGGTGACCTAGTTGGCAGCTGCGTTCACGTTTCCTGAAAACAGGAATCTCTGCCCCACTGGGGATCTCGGCCAGGTGAGCAGGCTCCCCTGTTTGCCAGGAAAGGGGGTCAGGGCCCTGGTGGGGTCCTGCTGGAGGCGAGGCCCACACAATGGCCTGGTCCAGCTATGCCTTCTCAAGCCCAGGACTTTTCCTGTGAAGCAGCGGTGTCCTCTCAGGAGTGTGAGACTGGGGAGCGAGGATGCGCGGGAGAGGCTGAGGCAGAGAAGTTACTGAAGGAATCTTCAGGAGAAGGCAAGGCTGTCTATCCAAGGAGGGTACAGTGACCACTTCAGCTGTGGGGTGGCTTCCAGGTGCTTGGAGGGCGGGGGAAAGGCTGGGATGGAAGATAGGCAGGCTGGGGAGGAAGACGGGTACTCGCAGAGGCCAGTGCCTGAGAGTTGCTGTACTGAGCTGGGCTACGAGGGACCAGCTAAAGGGCTGCAAGCCAAGTAAAGAGACAGAGACGACATTGCTGTTCACCCTCCAGATTCTGAACCCACTTCTCACGTGACAAGCTCCCCACGGCTGCCCTAAGTGAGGCAGATCCTCCCTTCCTCAAAACTCTTTCTCGGTTCCAAGTTCAATCTGACTCTGCATCTTGCCGGCTTGCTGACTAAACTCTCCCTGGATTCTTAGCCCCTAGGAGACCCGTAACCCTCTAGTCCAGGAGACCTCAGTTGGGAGGGACGGATGGGACTTCATCTGGAGGTGGCTGGAGAAAGAGGAGCTGAGAGGGAGAGGCGAGAGCTCCGTGGATGGGGTGAAGGAGGCCGAGATGAGGTGTCAGGCTGTGGCGACCGGGGACAAAGACATGATCCTAAAAGTATGCAGATCTTATATAAGGAGGCCTTGGGAGACCTCAGCTAAGACAGGGTAGGGTGGGCTGAAGAAAGGAGGGAGGGGATCTGCCATAGAGAGCTGGGGAAGGCGGGATGGGAGAGCAGAACAAGGCTCTGCCACTGGTTTTAACATAGGGGAGGGAGAGCCTTTCTCTGTGCCTACCTTTTCCCATCTTTAAACAAAGGTGGGGGGAATGACAGACACGTCGCTGCAGACAGGTGGGAGGGGGTCACAGTCGCTACTTCCTGAGAGTTGGGGTGGGGCATAGGTGACGTTGGATGTGACAGGGTTATGAAGGAGGCTGAGGCCCAGGGTGGAGCCGGCTGAGAGCGTCAGTGTCCCTCGAGGTGCCCCACGAGGAAGGGTTAGGATTCAAGTGCATGCCACGGCCTGGGGTACCTGAAGTAAGCAGACTGGCAGGCCACAGTTTCTCCAAAATTATACTT